ATACTACTGCATTAAAATATAATTGTTTTGACTTGATTATTACAAATCAAAAATTAAATAAGCAGATTAAAAAAATATTTTACTTGTCAAGTTGACGACAAATTATCAAATACTTGATATAGACGGGAAAAAATTATAAAATGGTATTTAGCATTGTGAGTTGTTAGTGAAATCAATGAAATATGAGATATAGTGTTTGGCAGGCTGACACCGTAAAGTTCTGAAATGTGTGGTCCTTACCGCCGGGTTATAGATCCAAATTCATAAAATCTAGAGGAGACAGATAGCAAAGTATATAATCCAACGCATGGATAGTTAATTAAGCATAATAGATCTTTATGTTAGTCGTAGAATAAATCTTGTTTGATGATGAAATCAAAGATAATATGATTCGTTCATGTATTCAATTTAAAGTATTAGGCATGGAATAGAGAATTTATTAAGATTTTCTAAAATATATGTGGCTAACATTTGCACTCATTATTGTGACGTCAATAATATGCAAATGACTAGAGTATAATTATCTGTTGCATGAGTATATCTTACATGCATTAATATAATTTATAAATCACTAATGGTAACGCTTATGTGAGATTGTAAACTACTAAAATATAGATATATAACAAAAGGAAAGCAGTTTGACATATCACATACGATATTAGATCAATATAATATGGAATGTTGACTATTATATGTAATATATACAGAATGTAAATCCAAAATGAAGGGAAAGTGATGGATAACAATGTTATTTAACATGCTTTTATATAATTAATGCATACATACTTGTTGATGAGCAACAAATTGTAAATAGATGGTTCAGAGGACCCATATTCTTTTTCAATGTGACTGTCTGAAAATCTACCAAAATTTTGAGAGGGAAAAATTAAATTTGATTTTTAAGTTATTTAATATGCCTATAATATTTTTGCTAAATAAGATTGTATTTCTCTTTTCAATTTTCTTTCATGGATTATCGATTTTTCAAGTGTTTTCCCAAATCATACAATAAGAAATACTAACTAATTTTGTAGTAAAAATCTCTCATCTGACTATTTTTGAGGGTGGGTGATTTATGTGTAAATTGGTCGTTCGTATGAATTTTGAATTGAATTGATGAGGTGATCATCGTTTTTCATTTTTTATAATGTCTGCTCTTCGCAAGGCTGCAGAGGAATATCTCACAGTAGAAAGCATTCCAGAGTACAAGGAAACAATCAAGGCAATCCTTGATAACGAAGCCGAACTCAAGAAGTACTTCGGAGGACGTCTCGCATTCGGTACAGCTGGTATCCGTGGACGCACAGGCCCAGGCTACACACAAATCAACCCAGGTCTCATTCTCCAAACAGCTCAAGGCTACTGCAAGTATTGCATCGACACATTAGGCATCGATACAATGAAAGAACGCGGTATCGTCATCGGCTACGATGCTCGTAAGTATTCTCGTGAATACGCTGAAATCACAGCATCTGTCTTCCTCATGAAGGGCATCAAAGTCTACCTCTTCTCTACAATCATCCCAACACCATACGTTGCCTTCGCTATCCGCTACCTCAAGGCTGCTGGCGGTGTCATGGTTACAGCCTCCCACAACCCAGCCACAGATAATGGCTACAAGGTCTACTGGGAGAACGGTGCCCAGATCATCGAACCACACGATGCCGGAATCTCCAAGGCCATCCAAGAAAACCTCATCAGATGGGAAGGATTCGACCAATCTCTCTTCGTTGACTCCCCACTCTGTGTTGATCCACTCGAAGATGTTCGCGCCGCTTACAACAAGATGATTCGCGAGAAGCTCTGCTTCCACTACGAAGAAAACAACAAGCCATCCGGCCTCCGCGTTGTTTACTCCGCCATGCACGGTGTTGGCCACAAACCAACTCTTTGGGCTCTTCACACATTCAACCTTCCACTTCCAATCCCAGTTCCAGAGCAGTGTGAAGGCAATGGCGACTTCCCAACAGCCGCATTCCCGAACCCAGAAGAAGGCGAATCAGTTTTCCGCCACGCATTCGCTCGTGCCAACCTTACAGGCGCTGATCTCATCATCTGCCAGGATCCAGATGCCGACCGTGTTGGCATTGCCGTCCGCCAGAAAGATGGCTCATTCCGCATCCTCCACGGCAACCACACAGGCACACTCCTCACATGGTGGTACATCCAGCACTTCAAGGGCGACCGCTCCAAGGCCAAGTTCCTTTCCTCAACAGTTTCCACAAAGATGCAGCAGAGAATCGCTGAAGTCGAAGGATTCCAGTACGAGGAAACACTCACTGGCTTCAAGTGGCTCGGAAACGCTTCTCTCAAGGCAGCAGAAGAAGGTGTTACACCACTCCTCGCCTTCGAAGAAGCCATCGGTTTCGAAATGGTTCCATCAATCACACCAGACAAAGATGCCATCTCAACAACAGCTGTTGTCATCGAAATGGCTCACTACCTCATGAGAAACGAGAAGAAGTCACTCACAGACAAGCTCGATGAAATCTACCAGAAGTATGGTTACTACCTCTTCAACAACTCATACTTCATGTGCCACGATCCAGAAGTCATCAAGGCTGTCTTCGTCCACATGAGAACATCTGGACCAGACGGAAAGTACGTCCAGAAGGTCGGCCGTTTCGCTGTTACAGGTGTTAGAGATATGACACTCGGATACGACTCTCGCACAGCTGATCACAAGCCAGTCCTTCCACAACAGTCTGGCCAGATGATCACATTCTACCTCGACAACGGAACAGCAGCTACAATCCGTACATCAGGAACAGAACCAAAGATCAAATGGTACATCGAACTCGCTGCTGAGAACCTCGAGAAGGCTCAGAGAGATCTCGACGAAGTTGTCAAGGCTATCCAGGACGATCTCCTTCTCCGCGAGAAGTACAACCTTAAGCACACAGATTAAATTAGTCAATACAGGTCTTTCAACCGAATAAACAACTGTAAATTTACACCAATTTTTAATTTTTCTATTTAAATCCAGACAATCAACATTCATCTTTTAAATGTATTGCAGAGCTCAAACTCGATCTATCCGAAGATAATGAAAACGAAGATGAGCCAAAAGTTAACTATGAGCGACATAATAGTTTTAATTATATGATTTTTCTTGTTTCTTAAAAATCTTAATATTTTATTTTATGAAATTCAATTAATTTTTATATTTCTGGCTGCTATTATCAATAAAATCGTAGATATGTTTAAGTTTCTAACATTGTAATCACATTTCATTCTAGTTTTATATTTCACAGGAATATTTAGAAAGAGTTTTTGCTTCATATACAGTACAAAAGCAACACTTCACTTATTTATGTCACATTTAAAATCGTGCCCTTTGATATATGAATATTTTGGCTTTTGAATATAATTAATTCTCGCACAAATGCTATCTGTACATTTCAAGCCTTTGCACATAGAGAACATACAAAAAGACAAAGAATTTCCAAAAGAAACACTCTAGATAGGTGTTTAATTCATTATGAACAAATATTTTCTAACAAATAAGAGTATATTGTAAAGAGACAATCTGACATTTAAATTGAAAGAAACTCATAGAATTGATTGTATATTAATCCAAAATTTTGTCATTAGAAAATGTTTAGTACGAAATGGCAACATTTAGCATCTAGATCTAAGTACACATAATTAAATTGGAGATAGTTGCACATAACAGACTCGAACGTTATATAAATCGTTCTTCCTTTCTCACAATGAGTGGGAAGATTTCTTTAATTCTTCGATTCAGCACAATTCCTATTCACAAAAAAATTCAAATCTCAATATTACTACATTTGAGAGTTATTACGTTTCACTTTGTCTTTTTATTCACCTTAATCAGACTGGAGCAATTCGAATTACAGACAATTCACCAAATTCTCTCAAATTTCTTATTGAAACCAGCTCATTTGATGAATGCTAACATAAGAGCGATAAAGGTGGATCTTTATTCATAGATTCAAAAAAAGGAGAATGCATCCAAGATAGAATCTGTTGTATTGGCTCAAAATCGCCAAGTTCTGGAGTGTATTGTCAAATTACAGTTTCAAAGACATCTCCTTTTAAAAATTATAATTTCAAGTGGTGATGGAAGCTTCGAAGGAATAAAAAATATTTACTTAATTAATGGTGAATATGCAAAAATGAATTACCAGTGTATGTACTACATAAATTTTTTCCCCAACTCCAATATCACATTTTCAACGTTTTCAAACAATACAATGAAAACTCGCGGGTATTTTGAAGTTTGGAATCAAGGCACTTCTAAATTCAAAATGATTTATTGTAATTACTATAAAAATTACATATCTCACTTGATATATAGCTATTATGATATTGATATTATTAATTGCAGCATATATAAAAACGATGTCGGTGGATATTATTTCGAGGTTGATAACAAAGGAACAATGCTACTTCAAGGGATTTACTTAGACGTCACAAATCCTACTAAATATGGAACCATCAAAATATCACAAAAAAACAGTTCACCATATCCAGACAATCAACATTCATCTTTTACATGCATTGCAGAACTAAAACTCGATCTATCAGAAGATAATGAAAACAAAGATGAGCCAAAAGTTAACTATAAGCAACATAATAGTTTTAATTACATGATTTTTCTTGTTTCTTAAAAATGCTTAAACATTGATTTTATATTTGAATTATATTTCAGGACCCATTATACTCTATCACATATTTCAACTATAGTTGAATCACTCATAATGCTACAGTATCAATATTATATGTCAATCATCTATAAATAAAAATAATTCTATCACAAGCAAATGAAAAAGAAGCTTGTAAAATGTCATACCGTATCCAAAACGTCCAAGGAATGAAAATCTGCCCAAGGAATGTATTCAAAACATGGTCGGCAGTTTTCGATCAGGTCTTTGAAAATTTTTGACATTTTACAACAAATCTAATCTGAATTTCATTTAAGGTGTTAATTAGATGGTTGAGATGATAACACTTAAGTTTTTTACGTTCATTGAATGCAGATATTACCTCTTATTTTACACAATACTTGGAAAGATTTCTTTGACTCATCAATTTCATACACACTTTACAGAAAAAAGCGCGAATACCTCAATGCCAGTCCAACAAATAGCTATTACATTTCTCATTGTCTCTTTATTTATCTTAACCAGACAGGTGCAATTCGAATCACAGATACATCAACAAATCATCTCAAATTTCTCATTGACACCAGCTCATTTGACAAATGTGAGCATCAAACCGATCAAGGCGGTTCCTTTTTCATGATTTCGAACAAAGGTGAGTGTATTCAAAACAAAATCTGCAGTTTTAACTCCAAATCGCCAAAAGAAGGCACATACTGCAAAGTTACCGTTTCATCTACATCTCCATTTAAAAATTACATTCTTGATTCATCAATTTCCACCAGCGGCGATGATAGTTTCCAAGGAACACGTAATATCTATTTATACAACGGCGAAACCCACATGAAATCAATTAATATTTCATTTTCAAAACTTGAATTGAGAAATTTATACGAATTTTATTGCTGTTCTAATTCAAACGTTTCACTTTCAACATTTTCGAATAACACATCTACGATCACTGAATATCATCAAGAATATCACACTGGCTCATCTGATTCAATCGAATTTAAAGTTCTTTTTTGCAATTACTTCGCAAATAGCTGTAATTACTTCATCGCCACAGATTATGATTTGATTTTATCTAATTGCAGCTTTAATAAAAATAATATCCGATTTTGGTATTTCACACATACCAATAATAAACAAGTTCAACTTAAAGGATGCTATTTTAACGATCCTGGTCCTATTTCATTTGGATCTGTCACAATAACAGAACAAGTTATTTCAAATTATCCAGATAACAATTATTTATCTAATACTTGCTTACGCATGATCGAAGAAGATACAGAAGATGAAGAAATTAAAGTCAACAATAAAAGAAGAAATAAATTTATTTTTTTGATTTTTCTTGCTTCTCTTTAAATTATTCAAACAATACTTTTTAGACGTTTTTTCCTAACACAATGAAATTTGTCACAATAAAATAGAAATCTGGTATCGGGGATGAAAACAAAAATTATATCCTAGTACTTTTGAATGCATCTTAGCTACAGAGAATGTAGGTTCAACTTATCCAGAAACTCGTCATTTGTCATACATTTGCATAGAAAAACTATTAAAACTAACTGAAGTCGAAATAATAGTTAATAATAAATAAAAATTTAGCTTTATATTTCTGATTTTTCTTTGTTATATTGCTTCTTAATCAAACATTCTTTCTGTATTCATGCACATTATTGTAAATCTTAAGATTCAGTTCAAAATCAACTTGATTTTTGCATATTTATATGCATTTAATATTATTTTTCATTATCATAATGTTCCATTAGAGAATCTAATGGCCACGTAGCATATTTTCCTTTATCATAACATTTGTCAATTTTCCGATCATTTTTTATGAAAATTTTTGACATTTTACAACAAATCTAATCTGAATTGGGCCAACTTCAATTTTATCTGATTTCCAGTTATTTCCGATCGAGAAAAAACATAGCACACATTTGCACACATTTTTACACTTTTTCTGACAAGCATCATTCAAATTTGAAGAAATACCTCTAAATTTCATTCAAATTTCTGTCAAAATGTGTGCAAAATTGAAATAGGCACACATTTTGACATACAATTATTTATATACGTTATTTTAATGGTTTCAGAGAAATCTTCGTTACACATTATTGAAGATTACTCAATATTTAAGTGAATGACTCACTACCACCTGTTTAGAAAAATGGTAGCATAAAATCCAAATGCCACATATATTATTTCTTATTTCATACAAATAAACTTACAATTATAACCTCAACTTGTTTGCAAAGCAGAAACTCAATATAAGCAATCGATCAGTAGTGTATTTAAAAGTCGAATTTAAATTTAAAAATTTATAATCTTATTTCGGAACCAAATAGTATAAATTTAGGACAAAAAGCTACGTGGTGTTGATAACAACTATTAAACTTCAAATATTACTACCATGTATAGATACAAGGTGATGTGAATTTTGCATCCCTGGGATGGACGATACACCCAAAGTGTCACCTTTTTGGGATAACAAAAATTTATATATATGAGAGTTCTGCAAATCATATGCACAATATCTATTCTGCCTGACTTCTTGTATATAGGAGTCAGGCTGAATAGATATTGTGCATGTGGCAATATAAGTATTTCCGAGATTGCCATCGTGCGCTATAGTACACTACTTCTCCTTGGTCCTAGCTCGGTTCCAAGGATATCGGTGTTCAAGGATTTGGCAAGGTCCTTCTGAAGTCTCTCATTCGATGAGAGCTTTCGGAAGAACCTTGCCTTAGAGTATTCCAACTCTTGTTCTCTTGTCCCTGAATAGTCAGAAAAGCTATTTGACTACTTAAGGCAGAGATTATCCGAGGTCCCTCATTTGATGAGAGGCCTCGGATAATCTCTGCCTTAAAGTTGTACACTTGTAGTCCATCAGAATGTAAGTATACACGGATAGGACAGCTTTCTTCTGAAGTCTTAGATTTGATGAGAAGCCTCAGAAGAAAACTGTCCTATTTTATAATAGGAGAAGTTTCAGAAGCTCCAGAGCTCCCTTTCGTAAGGAATAGGAGCTTTGGAGCTCCTGGTTCGAAGATGTGCTTCGCATCTTTCATCAGCATAGGATATTTATCAACTGGGACTCTGTTGATGAAGACTCAGGAGCTCCAAAGCTCCCTTTCGTAAGGATTAGGAGCTTTGGAGCTCCTGGTTCGTAGAAGAGCTTCGCATCTTTCATCAGAAGAGGCCCAAATGGTAAATATCCTCTGCTGATGAGCTTCAGGAGCTCCAAGGCTCCCTCTCGTAACGATTAGGAGCTTTGTAGCTCCTGAAGGTAAGGTAGGATTGCTCTGATCTCTAATCAGTAGATGCCATGCCTCATTATGGACTCTACTGACAAGAGATCAAGAGCTCCAAGGACTCCCTTTTTAGCTAGTGGCATTCTCACCATTTAGTAGGATCGCTGATCCTACTAATGAAGTGATCACTTAATATACGTTTTGAATAAATTGAATTTTTTTACAAAAATTTAGTATTTTTTATAAACATCACATATATATTATAAATACGTAAATATATTCTTTAATTCAAAAAATTCAATTCGGTTTCGGGCTGGGTATCCCAGCCCCAAGTATTCAATTTTATTCAATTTTTTTAGAATTTTGGGTTGGGGGGCCCAGACCAAAACAAACTTTATATTTTGATGTGAAGATGCGTATGTGTACATCATTATTGCGTTATATATTATATTTTTAATGAAAAAAATCTGATTCAAAAAAAATTATCACTAATTAGTTGATAATATAAAGAAAAAATATATAAATTGTATGTTTTGAGAGTATTTATCCGCATTCACTCATATGAATTTCATTAAATAGTGTCTTTTTACTCCAAAGAAAAAAAACTAGAAAAATTTCTCGAAATTTTTATTTTTAAAAAAATTTTGGATTTTATATTAAAAACTGACACTGGGAGGACGATAGGGCTGGGATTAGAGATACCCCGCTCACTTGGGAAAAATACAGATCTATACTACCATGAACAATACAATGGCTCATATTGATAATTGATAAACGTGTATATAAATTGCATATATCATCAATGTCATTAAGTAAAATACATGTATATAAATAGATTAGAAATATTTTCGGTTAGAATTAAAATCTATGTAATAAAAAATAAGTTATAAAAATAAATACTGAATTTTTATTTGTAATATAAACTGCTACAATATGCTAGTGTATACAAATGTATTTGTCGTATTGATTTGAAAGATCTTCAACATGGTTCAGATCTAAATTTGAAACTCGTAAAATAAAGCGAATCTTTATTTATAATATAAACTGCTACAATATGCTAGTGTGTACAAATGTGTTTGTACAAATGTATAACTCTTTGTCAATTGTCATGGCACCTTATAACTTAAAAATCATTTTCATTAACAAATATAAAAAGTGACAATTAATATTTTCATTAAATGCATATTTAATTATCAAAACAATGTCGATTTAGCTTGAATGTTCATTATAAATGTGTAAGTTTAGGAAAACAAAAAATAATTAATTCTCGCAAAGAAACTTATTTTAAAAGAACCTAAACAAAAGTTCATATAATAATAAATCTAAAAATAGATATTAATTTAAACGAAGATAATGAGAGAATGGGGATGTTGTAAAACAATGAGACTTAATGATCAAATAATTAAAATAATAAAATTAATTAAAGGAAAGCTAAAATAGTTTAATGAATTTTTATAGATTGATTACACAATCAATGTTTCTGTGTCAATGTACATCAATCAACATTGTTTCATTGAATTTTGTCTTTCACCAAGAAGATTCAAGAACAAAGTTTTGTAGTTTCAATAGATTGATTACACAATCAATGTTTCTGTGTCAATGTACATCAATCAACATTGTTTCATTGAATTTTTGTCTTCATATATACTTATATATTACTGTTCCTATTTCCCTTATTATTAATTTTCAAATTCTTATAAAATAATTTTTTATTCTAAATGATTTGTCATAAATTAATTAATCTCATTTCCAAAAATATCATCTTCTGTAATTTCGAATTCATTGATATTTATATCATCGGATTCTTCTAATTTAATTGTAACAGAATTTGAAAACTGCTCATCATTTTTATTCAGATATTTTTCAATTTCTATATCTCGATAATCGGCCTCTCCAAATCGAAATGATTTTTTATTTTTTGATTATTTCACTTGGTATTTCTGCACGTTCTAATCCAAAATTAGATGTGAATACATCTAACTCTTGTTGAATTCTTGTCAATGGTATAAAATACGATTTTTTATGATCAAAATTGTCATTTTGCTGCCTTGCATATCGATGAAAATATACCTTATCAACTTTCAATAGGATGTAAATCATATGATAAATAGTTGGATGTGGGAATGCAATATGAGAGTTTAACACTTTGTTAAATGACTCAACTCCATTATTGGAAAAGATCATATCAGATACTTTCAGCTTGTTAATTACATCATACTTTTTACCCCATGTATTTAAGAAATATTTTGCAAAATCATTTATTTCTTTAATCGCATCTAATTTTTTGCAAATTATTTCAAAAACTTCTATTGGAACAAAAGGACATGCACATAATAGTTTTAAAAGTGATTTTGCGCAAACATCGTTTTCATCACATAACTTTTTGAAATTTTTAACAAGAGCTGCTATATAATGAAATATACAACCAGTGACTGTAGTTTCATCATTGACTTTAGATTTGATTGATTTCATTAATGCATTCTCAAAATCTGATTTAATGATTTTATATTTTCCCAATGATATACTAATAAGAGGACATGTGATCATTAAATTAAAAACTGTATCATAGTTAAGTGATGATCTTCCTGTCATTAGTACATGAAGGAAAGGTAAATATAAAATTGTAGCTTCATCGTATACTAAAAGATTTAAGAGCTGCCCATTTGCTAACTTAATTGGAACGATACGAAATGTTCCATCTATGAAAAGATGGTTGCAAGTTTTAGCTCTTTTTATAAAAGCTGGCAACCCGAAGAAATAATAGTTAGTATCATCTGAACTTGAGTAATATTGGGTTATATAATAATCTGTGCTGTTATACTTTTCTAATAACTTCTTAATTAATTCATTTTCGCTTAGTTTGATTTTAGGCCTGATCTCGTAGTATAGCTTTGCTATTGTTTGAGGTGAAATATCAATAGTATCATCATGTGAAGAATTGTATTCAAATATGAGTTGATTTGAATATTGTCGAGCTTCAGCTAGTGATAACAATGGATTATTTTGAATATAAGTTGATATCATTGATTCGAATTCATACCTGATTTGATGTGTTCCATTGATTTCAATCGAATATTTCGATTTGGAGCAGTTGTGTGGAGGATTTATTTCGTGGATTGACGCTTTTATATTCGAACCAGCTGGAAATAATGATATAATTTGTGAATAACCACATTTTTTCGTTTGGCACAATAATAGTGTAACTCTAAATGATCATTCTTGCAATAATAACATTCAAATCGTAATGGAATACCTTGAGGATATATCGTTTTCCTATAGGCAAATTTGTCAGAGTCAGATATACTAAATGTATGATAAGTACGTAAAATATCACTAATTTTTATTCTCTGGGCTTCTTTATCATCTTTGTTCAATATATTGTAGTTTGCAACACATTGTTCGCAAATGGTTTTGGAAAGATTATATTGACTCCTTTTGTCGGAAATACTTTGATATACTTTCGCATTATCAATAATAATTTGAGGGTTAATAAAGTTATCAAAAGATAAATTATCAGTTATATATGGTTGTTGTTTAGGAAGAGCCTGAGTTGGAAGAGATTGTTGTTGTCTCTGTTGAGGAAGAGTCTGAGCTGGAAGAGATTGTTGTTGTCTCTGTTGAGGAAGAGCTGGAGCTGGAGGAACTTGGATGTTTACTCTATTTACTTGTATAAAATTAGGAGATAATTTGAGGATTGCTTGCCGAGATTTATTATTATTTGATTTTGGTTTCAATATGCGTCCATTAATATTTTGATGACCATCACTAATTTCTCCATCAATATTTGAATTTCTTTCATTAATGTTTTGATTAATATTTGAATGGCTATTAATCGTTTCTCCATCAATATTTGAATTTCTTTCATTAATGTTTTGATTAATATTTGAATGGCTATTAATCGTTTCTCCATCAATATTTGGATTTCTTTCATTAATGTTTTGATTAATATTTGAATGGCTATTAATCGTTTCTCCATCAATATTTGAATTTCTTTCATTAATGTTTTGATTAATATTTGAATGGCTATTAATCGTTTCTCCATCAATATTTGGATTTCTTTCATTAATGTTTTGATTAATATTTGAATGGCTATTAATCGTTTCTCCATCAATATTTGAATTTCTTTCATTAATGTTTTGATTAATATTTGAATGGCTATTAATCGTTTCTCCATCAATATTTGGATTCCTATTGCCAATTATATCATTAATATTAAGCGCGTTTCCTGATTTAATTTTATCTGATTTTACATCTTCAATGATATCATATGAATCATCACTTGATTCAACATCGCTATCTGCTTTAAAAATCCCTTCTGCTAATACTTCTGTGTATTTTTTACCATTGCTATCTGTCCTTATTGCAATCATTTGACCTTTTATATCACTTCTTCTAAATTCTCTTACTTGTTTTAATAAGCAATTAAGTTCATATCCATATTCTTCGATTGAATCCGTGTTCAGTATTTTCATAGCAGTATCAATGTCATTTCTGGCTGAAAACAATGCAATTTGTGAAATATCCATATCATATCCATATTTTATTAAATCCTCCAAATTTGATAGTTTAGTTGAAGAAATTATTGGATTGTCAAATAGTTTAGAGGCTTTTTTTGACTCTTTTATTTCAATTGTCATATCTGAATAATGTTTAACATAATTAAACAATTGTATCTTCTTTGAATCTTTTTGTAATATAAAAGTCTTTAGTTTAAGATGAAATACTTTGGAAGCATATAGATATAATGATAGACAATGTATTTCTTGAGGAGTATTGACTTTTTTAATTTTATTTCCATATTTGAGCGTGATAACCATATCAAAAATGAATAACCTTAATTTATAAATCTGAATTTGATTTTAATAATAATAAATAATATATATATATATATATATATGTAATTCATGAATTATATTTTTACACTTCATTTTACCTGAACAAATATAGCTGATATCAAATAACAATTTAATATAGAAATTGAAATTGTTATATATGCAATGTAAATACACATAATACATATATTATAATTTATCAATGATTATTGTCTAGACCAAAATTTGTAGATGGAATTATGCAATTTCTCAATTTAAAGTACCAGCTGTTTGTATAACAACTTCATATTGAAATTTACTAATAAACACGGTAAGTTTCATAATTTTTATTATGATGATCTTACATTTGATTAAAATCGACGATTTTTCAATTGGAAAATAGTGCAAAGTAATAAAGAATATATTTAGCAAATTTTAAATTTTTTCAAAAATTTTAGAATGAATCTTATAGAAGGACTAGCAAAGATTTAAAGGAAATTTGAATAAACTCATAGAATTTTTGAAAGAAGAAGGGAGATTTGAGAGGATTTTTGGTCAGAAAAATATAGAATTAAATGAATAATTGGGTATGATAAGATAAGTGATGGTAAAAGATAATTTTAGTAAACGAAAACGTGTAAAGTTAAAGCAAGGTAACATTTTTAATCATTTAAAAAAGAAAAAGAGCAAAACTTGTTCTTGAATCTTCTTGGTGAAAGACAAAATTCAATGAAACAATGTTGATTGATGTACATTGACACAGAAACATTGATTGTGTAATCAATCTATTGAAACTACAAAACTTTGTTCTTGAATCTTCTTGGTGAAAGACAAAATTCAATGAAACAATGTTGATTGATGTACATTGACACAGAAACATTGATTGTGTAATCAATCTATAAAAATTCATTAAACTATTTTAGCTTTCCTTTAATTAATTTTATTATTTTAATTATTTGATCATTAAGTCTCATTGTTTTACAACATCCCCATTCTCTCATTATCTTCGTTTAAATTAATATCTATTTTTAGATTTATTATTATATGAACTTTTGTTTAGGTTCTTTTAAAATAAGTTTCTTTGCGAGAATTAATTATTTTTTGTTTTCCTAAACTTACACATTTATAATGAACATTCAAGCTAAATCGACATTGTTTTGATAATTAAATATGCATTTAATGAAAATATTAATTGTCACTTTTTATATTTGTTAATGAAAATGATTTTTAAGTTATAAGGTGCCATGACAATTGACAAAGAGTTATACATTTGTACAAACACATTTGTACACACTAGCATATTGTAGCAGTTTATATTATAAATAAAGATTCGCTTTATTTTACGAGTTTCAAATTTAGATCTGAACCATGTTGAAGATCTTTCAAATCAATACGACAAATACATTTGTATACACTAGCATATTGTAGCAGTTTATATTACAAATAAAAATTCAGTATTTATTTTTATAACTTATTTTTTATTACATAGATTTTAATTCTAACCGAAAATATTTCTAATCTATTTATATACATGTATTTTACTTAATGACATTGATGATATATGCAATTTATATGCACGTTTATCAATTATCAATATGAGCCATTGTATCTATACATGGTAGTAATATTTGAAGTTTAATAGTTGTTATCAACACCACGTAGCTTTTTGTCCTAAATTTATACTATTTGGTTCCGAAATAAGATTATAAATTTTTAAATTTAAATTCGACTTTTAAATACACTACTGATCGATTGCTTATATTGAGTTTCTGCTTTGCAAACAAGTTAAGGTTATAATTGTAAGTTTATTTGTATGAAATAAGAAATAATATATGTGGCATTTGGATTTTATGCTACCATTTTTCTAAACAGGTGGTAGTGAGTCATTCACTTAAATATTGAGTAATCTTCAATAATGTGTAACGAAGATTTCTCTGAAACCATTAAAATAACGTATATAAATAATTGTATGTCAAAATGTGTGCCTATTTCAATTTTGCACACATTTTGACAGAAATTTGAATGAAATTTAGAGGTATTTCTTCAAATTTGAATGATGCTTGTCAGAAAAAGTGTAAAAATGTGTGCAAATGTGTGCATTTTATCCATCTCCTTTCTATCTTTAATAACTATTTGTTTTTTCCATCTGTAATTCCATGAAACAGTTTTAAATAAGAATAATCTTAAGAAATTACGCTAGATACTACTTTGATTGTATATTTGCATAGTATTTAATTATTTGATTATCTGATAACATTGTCTCCTGTGGGTTTAGCTATTCAGAAAGCAAAACTTTTATAATTCAAAAAAAATCTGACCTGAAGTAAGTATTCTCTATTTGTTGATAATTGTTGCTAATATTAGATTCAACACAATCAACAGTTTTTTGATAATTCATGCTCTCATGAAAATTGCCAATAAATTCACCCAAAATCCATTTATATCAGTTTCTCTCATAGAAAATGTATGTGTAAACATGATATGTTATAAAAAAACTGTAAAGTTTCATTGTTGTATTCCAATACCTTGGAAATCTGATTTCTGACATATTGTTCCAATTCAAAATTCAATGAGCAAAACAAATTCATCCGATCCTATATATCATTCAAACTGACGGCGATTAAAATGATGATTACCTTAATAAGTCAATTCATTCACAACATATTTTTCTCCCAATTTCCCACAAAGATTGGAATAATTTCTTCGATTCTTCAATTGTCTATAAGTCATACACAAATGAAAGCAAAGAACTCAGAGTTACTACATCAGACAGCTATTATGTCTCTTTTTGTCTCTTTGTTTATCTTAATTCGACAGGTGCAATTCGTATCACAGACACAACGAGCAGCAATCTTAAATTCCTCATCGATACAAGTTCCTTTGACAAATGCGAACATAAGAGCGCCGACGGCGGCTCTCTATACATAAAATAGAACCAAGGTGAGTGTATTCAAGACAAAATCTGCAGTTTTGGCTCTAAATAGCCAAACGATGGCGCTTTCTGCCATGTTACAATATCATCTAAATCTACTTATAAGAATTATATTCTTGATTCAACAATTTCTTCGAGTGGTGATAATAGCTTCCTTGGGAAAATGAATATTTATCTATATAATGGGAAAGTACATATGAATTCGATTAATATTTCACATTCAAAACTTGATTTCAGAAATTTTTACGAAATTTGGTGTTGTTCTAACTCAAATGTATCACTTTCAACATTTTCGAACAGCACATCTAAAAATGCAAGTCATTACCACGCGCTTCATTACGGACCATCAAACACAATTGAATATAAAATAATTTTTTGTAATTACATATAAAATAACTGCGATTGGTTTATTTGGACTTATTATGACCTTTACTTCCTTAATTGCAGCTTTTCTAAGAATATTGTCACATCAAAGTACTTTCATGCATATGGAAACAACAAAGTTCAAATTGAAAAATGTTATTTAGATTTTTATGAACCTGGAACAGTTGGAACTCTTGTAATAACAGAGAACGTAAGCTTAATTTATCCAGAAAATCATCATTATACACATAGTTTATGTGTTGCAAAACTTTCACCAACAGTTAGTGTTAAACAAGAAAGAGATAAAGAAGAAAAGAAAATTAACTTTAATTTCATGATTTTTCTTGTTTCTTGTGTTAGTGAATAAAAGAATAACAGATAAACGACCTTTAACTTACCATCATTTTTACATTTTGGCAATGGAACATAACATCAACATACTTGATATACCCATTGCAGGAATATTTTGGTTATACAATTATCATTTTGAATTTGATTGTATGATGTTAATGGATATGCATTCTCATAATGCTAATTAATTTATTCACAGTGTTTAGGTGTAGTTCTTCTTCATCTCTCAAATGTATGAAAATATTCGAATCTTTAAGGCTGCACTTACGCCCATCTGACTTTGATTCAAATTTTTGACAACTGACGTGAAGAAACATTGAAAATTAACCTTAAATATCATAATTGAAGGCTATGTCATAGGGGTGTAAGTGCACCCTTAATGCTCTCTAATTTTCTTATTTATTTTCACTGAAATGTAGTTTTCATTCAGCAAAAATATAGATTGTATATAAAAGAGTCAATATAAGCAACTAGTCCATAATTTGATAACTTTTTCCAAATTCAAAAGAGTGTTAATCTCGTAAACGAAAAAGAGGATTTGACGCAGTCAAATCCTCTCTCTCAAAAAGTGGACTTTACATGGCAAATTTCAAATGCATGTAAGATCAACTTTGATCAGTTTCAGGATGGAATTGGAGGCCATGAGGTACTGACATTGCATCAGTATCTCATAGCCTCCAATCCCTTCAAAAAATGGGAGAAACTTTGGTCGAATAATTTAACATTCGGCCAAAGTTTCTCCCATAATTAATGAGAATGAAAGGGTAAGAGGCATATAGGGTCACTATATACCTCTTACCCTTTCATTTTCATTTGGAGGTCAACAAACCCGGAGTTAATTGCAAACAATTAACTCCAAATTTGTTTATGTTAAGGAAGGAATTGGAGGGTAAGAGGTACATAGTATGAATATGTACCTCTTACCCTGCAATTCCTTCTAGAAAGTTCCAAAACTTTGGGTTAATTGCAAACTATTAACCCAAAGTTTTGGAACTTTCAAGTGGAGATGGAAGGCTTTGGGGTATACATTAATATAATATACCTCAAAGCCTTCCATCTCCACTACAAATGGGAGAAACTTTGTCCGAATAGTTTAACATTCGGACAAAGTTTCTCCCATCTTTCAATGTAATTGCTACCTGTGAGGTACTGACTTGAAGTCAGTGCTTCACAGGTAGCAATATCCAAAAATTTAAAAACATTTTATCAGTTCGTTAGGGAACTAGAGCCTCCTAGGTACTGAACCAGAATCAGTGCCTAGGGGACTCTAGTGATTTATATAAATCTGAGAAACTTTGAGGAAATTGTTCGACATTTCCTCAAAGTTTCTCAGCAATTTAGCGAGGAATGTTCGTTATCGTGTAGATATTTATAATATATACATGATAACAAACATTCCCCGCTAAAAGATGTAAAATCTTATAAGAAATAATTGCAAAAGAATAACAAATTGCAACAAATTTTATATGAAACTGAACCTTATGAGGTAGTGATTCAAGATCACCGCCTCATAAGATTCAGTTTCAATCTCAAGTATCTCAAAAGTAAGGCTCTATTTTTTTGCCATGTAAAGTGTCACTTTACTGTCAAACTGTTTTTATCGTTTTCGTTTACAACATTAATGAAATGTTAATAGCATTATCATAAAGAGGACATTATCAATCGATGTATTTCAAGAATTAAAATTCTTGATATTTCGTTAAAATTTGGAAGCGACTATGAATATCATGGTCATGAAACTCAATTTCTCAAAGGTACTTTTACCCATATTGTAAAAATTTTATTCAGAATTTTTTCAAAGTATTAATTCAAAATATCTAAAAGTGACAATATGAAATTTTTCATCAATGGAGACGAAAAAATAAATGATGCTGGTTATGAAATCAAAATTATCAATGATACAAAATGGTTAAAGATATACCACCACAATTCAACAACATTATTCTCGGACAACAAAGTTATTGCAACGACGCAAGTTTATTTCATCAATGAAACCAATCGATTTAGTGTTATTGGTTATATTAACGACAGTTTCAAGATTAACGGTCTCTACAACTTCTTATTCCATTTTCCAGACGATTATCCAGACGACTACTTTTACTTCAACCAAAGTACACATCCACTTACCTCCGCTTCAGTTAAAGACTTCAGTTACAAATTTTATAATAAAAAATGTTTTCCCGATCTAAAAAGTTACCTAATGCTCAATGGTTTAGCAATTTCAACAGCTTCGGACGCAATTTTAGATGGAAATATTAATTATGACCATTGGTGGTATGCTATTGGCTCTAACTGCTATCACAGTGGTCGAAGAATTCCAGGACCAAATTGTGCCAATATTGCAGATCCTACTACAACTACAAATGATTTATGGATTAAGATAATAGATAAATCAGTTTTGAAGTTTCTTCCTTCTTTTCTTGAACATATCTGTCTTTCCAATGCTCTAAATTGCCAAAATTGGAGTTATTTTCCTTTTAATTTATTCGAAATCTTTATTGTTTTAATATCAGAATAAAATATATTAAATTTATTTCTTATTATATTCGATTTTTTGAAATAACACTCTGAAATATTTGAATCAAATTGTAAAATCTATCAATTTTTTAAAGCAAGAAAATTCTTAACAATGCTGGTTATGAAATCAAAATTATCAATGATACAAAATGGTTAAAGATATACCACCACAATTCAACAACATTATTCTCGGACAACAAAGTTATTGCAACGACGCAAGTTTATTTCATCAATGAAACCAATCGATTTAGTGTTATTGGTTATATTAACGACAGTTTCAAGATTAACGGTCTCTACAACTTCTTATTCCATTTTCCAGACGATTATCCAGACGACTACTTTTACTTCAACCAAAGTACACATCCACTTACCTCCGCTTCAGTTAAAGACTTCAGTTACAAATGGAGTAGTTTCTGAAACTGTTACATGGCAATAAGTGCCATCTTTTGGTAATCTAGAACCAAAACTGCATATTTTATTCTGAATACACTCACCTTTAACTGAATTTACGTATAAAGAGCCACCTTCTTTGCTTTGGTGTTCACATTCATCAAATGAACTTGTATCAATGAGGAATTTAAGACCGGTGGTTGTTTCATCAGTGATACGAACTGCTCCTGAAGAATTAAGAAAAACAAAGAGGCAAAGAGAGATGTAATAGCTATTCGAGGTATTGGTGCTGAGTTCTTTGTTTTCTTTAGCATATGACGTATACTTAATTGATGAATCAAAGAAATCATCCCAATCTTCGTGAGAAATATGGACGAAACTATGTAACGAATGGATTTATTAAGCAGTTCTTTCATAATTCATAATTTATCAATATAGGAAACGCTGTAATTTCAAAAAAAATGAACATTTTTCTTTATTGAGCGAATTGACAAATTCTCAAAAAATTGAGAGAATTCATTTAAAAAAACTTTTAACATGAAATCTTTATTCTTATATTAAAATTAAATAAATTTCCAAGAAATATAAAGGGAAATAACGCTTATTTTGGTATTTTAAAATATTAGAGGGACAGAAAAGTGTGTGAAAAGGAGGAAGAAACCTCAGTATTGATTTATCTATTATTTTAATCCATAAATCATTTGTAAGTGTATCGGGATATGGAATGTTGGCACATGGTGGTCCTGAATTCTTTGATTAGAGTTATAACTACCAGAGCCTATAGCATACCACCAATCGTTAATATTAATATTTCCATCTAAAACAGTATAAGAGGATGTTGAAATTGCTAAACAATTTCAAGTGGTGATGAAAATTACATCGGAGCTCGTAATATTTATTTGTATAATGGTGAAACACATATGAAATCCATCAATGTTTCGTTTGCAAAATTGAATTCACGAAATTTCTATGAAATTTATTGTTTTTCTAACTCAAATATAACACATTCTATATTCTCAAATAACACATCTACAGATTCAGAAATCCATCTAGCATGGCACACTGGACCTTCTGATACAATTGAATTTAACATTCATTTTTGTAGTTACTTCGGAAATAGTTGCGATTATTTTGTGTACAGCGATTACAATCTCAATTTCAGTAATTGCAGTTTTTATGAAAATACTGTTAAAATTCGATATTTTGGAATTCGGTTTAATAAGAGAATGCTGCTTAAAGGATGCTACGTAGAAAGTATTGAGCCTTCTAAATTTGGAACTGCCACTATAACGGAGAGTGCAAATTTGGATAATATAGATGATTTACATTTGACTAATACTTGTATTGCAAGACTTTTAAACGAAACATATATAGTCAAAAAGATCAAAGTTAATAACAAAAGAAATAATAATTTTTATTTCCTGATTTATCTTGCATCTCTCTATTCCTCATAAAAATTTTATTTTATCTTAAATTAAGTACTAATTTTGCCATTTGAGTGCAGAAATTACGTAAATTTTGAGAACTTGGTTAATTGGCTTCGTGATTGTGTCTCGATGTAACAAACTCAACATAGAGTGGTTTTCATCCTGATGTCACTATGTTTTAAAGTTTTTGATGATTATTTACATAATATTTCTAAATTAGTTTTCAATTAATGCCAATTCTTTAAAAAATGTTCCTAAATTGACCATTAATTCTAGTTGACGTTTAGAAAAAGTAATAAATACATTAAATTAAAGAACATTTGTGGTATTCTGATCCGATTTTTTTTGACAAATTCTGAAATCTTTCTTCCAAAATCGTATGAAATTTTATACAATTCAAAGTGAGGATGAATAAATAATGATGATTTCAATAATTTATTTCAGTACTTTCGCTTTATTTTCCAACAAGCGTGGAACAATTTTTTTGATACTTCGATCTATTATAAATCATGCACCGGTGAAAGGAAAGAACTCAATGTTAGTGCATCAAACAGCTATTATATCTCTCTTTGTCACTTTATTTACCTTAATTCAGCAGGTGCAATTCGAATTACAGATTCAACCACTAACAAACTTAAATTTCTCCTTGATACAAGTTCGTTTGAAAAATGCGAGCATAAGAGCAAAGAAGGTGGCTCTTTATACCTAGAATCTAGTAAAGGGGAGTGTATACAAGACCGAATTTGCTGTTATGGCTCTAAAACCCCAAATTTTGGCGTATATTGTTATATTACAGTTTCATCTACTTCTCCACATAGAAATTATATTCTTGATTCAACAATAACTTCAAGTGGTGATGAAAATTCTCAAGGATGACGAAACTTATATTTGAAGAATGGTGAAATAAATATGAAATCAATCAATATAGGGTGTCCAAAGGTGTGTTTAGCACAAACCTGAATACTGCGAATAGAAATAAACAAGTTACATATATATAAAGTTTATTTAAATATAATCACCATTGGATTCAATCACGCGTTCGCAGCGATCGATCCAGGCTTCAAAGACACGCTTTAAATCATCATACAATTGATAATTTGAGTAAGAACATTGTCAATTCAATATTTTAGCTTTTCTGAGGTGTGAGAAAAAATAGAAAATAAAAAATTGAAAAATAGATAGTATATTAATAGATAAATGCAATTATTAAAAAAAAACAAATTTGAATTTTGATATGGGAATAAAATTATTCTCACAAATTGTAAAGATTTGAGAGCGTTTTGAAAAAAATCGAAATTATCAAAATGGATAAATTATGAAAAGATTAATTGTGCATTTAAGTTAAATAAAAATATATTTGTAATTGAGATAATATAGGATAATTCAAAATTTGCTTTGAAAATGCATTTGAATAGAAGAAAGAAAAATAATGTTTAAAGAAAAATAATATATAAGGCTGAATATAAAACAATAATTTGAATTCAAATTTACAATAAAAGTATTGTTTTTAAAATCAAAATTGAATAATTTGATTTATTTATTAAAATATATTTGATTTATCTTGTTTTTTAAAAAATTACACCTTCTCTCAATTTTTTATTATCCTTTCAAAATTGCCGATCATTTCTTAAAAAAATTCTGGATGAATTAATAATTTGATTTGTTTATTAAAATATATTTGATTTATCTTCTTTTTTAAAAAATTACACCTTCTCTCAATTTTTTATTATCCTTTCAAAATTACCGATCATGTCTCAATTTATTTGCAAATGTTCAATGATAAAACTTGCAAACCCACTCAAATTATAATGAAAAAAAAATAATGGTGATTCAACTCAATATTTAATAAAATGGATTGAAAACAATAAAGAAGAATGTAATTGGGTTGAGAGTAGGGGTAATTTTAGCTAAAAGTGACACGCCTGTAAAAAGTGACACACCCATGAAGGGTGTGATTACCAATCGGTAATTTCGACAGTTTAGAATTTAAAATTTTTTATGGAACTGTTGCGAGTTTCATAAAGAATTTAAGGAATATAAGCAAAGATTTGAATCAAAATCTTAGACCTAAGCCGCTCGATTCGCTCGCGGCTTCCGCGAATTACAGATCAGCAAAGATTTGAATCAAAATCTTCGAACTAAGCCGATCGCTTCGCTCGCGGCTTTCTTTATTATTTTAAATTTGCATATTTCCATCAAAAGTTCATAAGGTAAAAAATTTCGTTTATTTTTACTAAGAAAAAAAAAGGTTTTTGATAATAAATTTATTTTATTTCGAAAAAGTAGCAATAATCGTAAAAGGGTATTGATAGGCTTGCTAAAGTAACTAATTTTAGCTGTCAAATACTTTTGTATTTTGAAGTAAATTAGTATAAATTTGTTTTTACTTTTATTTCGAAAAAGTAGCAATAATCGTAAAAGGGAATTGATAGGCTTGCTAAAGTAACTAATTTTAGCTGTCAAATACTTTTGTATTTTGAAGTAAATTAGTATAAATTTGATATTATTTTAACTCCCTTTGAAAACCTCAATTTTCCATACAGAGGGAACGGGAATAGCATCCAATATTCCCTGAGAATGGTTGCGCATTCTCGGTTCCCTCTATATTTCGAACGAAGCTCTCATCGGTCTTTTTTTTAATACTAAACGTTTTTTTCCATGTCACTTTTAGCTAAAATTTGGGTTTGCCATTGGGTTGATTCCACGAAATTATTTTTTTATAAAAAATTGATTGACGATTTTCAGAAACGGAACCAAACTCAGGCCCCTCCTGAAGAAATTAAAGTTAAAAAAATTTAAAATTACCCATATGTGGATTGAAAATGGGAAATACATGTGTGGAGGTGAAATCAATGGACACTTTTATAAGTGTTCAAGGGACGATGTCAAAAAATATAATATCAAAAGCCTATTGGATTTTTATGAATCTCATATAGAAATTAAAGAACCAAAAGAATAAGAAGGAAAAACTAACTAAATAAACAATTACTTTTTATATAATTTTACTTTAGTGCTACAAAAAGAAGTTGCATATGATTTATTTTACAGGTTAACAACTAACTTTCCATTTGAAATTTTATTAAATTTTCAACAATTTAAACAACTCCTAATGGTATTAAAGGATTTAGAAGTATGTAAGGATTTAAATTTAAAATTCATTTTTAGTGAACACAGTTTATTTATA